TAGAAAAGTATGTTTCCATGTGCACTTGAAAAGAATGTGTATTCTGCTGTTTTTGGATAGAGTGCTCTGTATATATCTGTTAAGTCCATCTGATGTAATGTGTTGTTCAGAATCAGGTTTTCTTTCTGACGTTCTGTCTCGATGATCTATCCATTGATGTAAGTGGGGTGACAAAGTCCCCAGCTGTTATTATATTTCCATCAATTTCCCTTAATGTCTTTAGGTACTCCTATGTTGGGGGAATAGGTATTTATAATTGTTATTTCCTCGAGTTGGATTGATCCCTTTATCACTATGTAGTGCCCTTTTTTGTCTGTTACAGTCTTTATTTTAAAGTCTGTTTTGTCTGATGTAAGTATTACTACCCCAGCTTTTTTTTTTTTTCATTTCCATTCATATGGAATATCTTTTTACATCTCTTCACTTTGTCTGTACGTGTCTTTAGGTCTGATGTTAGTCTCTTGACTGGGTTTTATTTTTTAATCCATTCACTCACCTTGTCTTTTTGTTGGAGCATTGAGTTCATTTACAGGTATGTACTTATTGCAATTTTGTTGTTTTCTGTTTGTTTTTATAGTGTTTCTCTCTACCTTTATTCTCTTGTTCTCTTCCTTTGTAGTTGGATAGCTTTCCTTAGTGTTATATTTGGCTTCCTTTCTCTTTATTTTTTGTATATCTGTTACAGGTTTTTGGTTGGTAGTTAACATGAGGTTCAAATATAACACTCTGTGTATATAGCACTCTATTTTAAATTGATAGTCACTTAGATTTGAACACATTCTAAAAGCAATACATTTTACTCCCTCCCATCCACATTTTATGTATTTGACATTTTAATTTTGTGTATCCTTTAACTAAATATTGTAACTGTAGTTGATTTTAATACTTTTGTTTTTTACCTTCATACTAGCTTTATAACTGATACACTACCTTTATTATATGTTTACTTTTTCCAGTGAAATGTTTTAATAATTTTTTTTTACTTCTAGTTAGGGCTCCTTTATTTCCATTTAAGGAAATTCCTTTAACATTTCTTGTGGGGTTTGTTTAGTGGTGATGAACTCCTTTAACTTTTGTTTGTTTTGGAAACCCTATCTCTTCTTCAGTTCTGAGTAATAGTCTTATAATAATCTTAGTAATAACCTTGTGGGGTAGGGTATTCTTGTTTACAACCATGAAGGTTTTTTTAATTTAAGCACTTTGAATATGTCATGCCACTCCCTTCCAGCCTGTGAAAAATCAACTGATAGTCTTATAAGTGTTCCCTTTCTTATTTATTTATTTAAGAGAGAATGTGCATGCACATGCTTTGGGGGACGAGCACAGGGAGAGGAAGAGAGAATCTCAAGCAGACTCCCTGCTGAGTCTGGAGCCCAACATGGGACTTGATCCCATGACCCTGAATTCATGACCTGGGCTGAAATCAAGAGTTGGACGCCCAACCGACTGAGCCACTTAGGTGCCCCTAAGTGTTCCCTTTCATGTAACTAGTTGCTTTTTTCTTGCTTCTTTTAAGATTATCTTTTTAACTTTAATTTTTGATATTTTAATTATTATGATTCTTCCTATGGACCTCTTTGGGTTCTTCTTGTTTGGGGCTCTCTGTACTTCGTGGACCTGGATGTCTGTTTCCTTCTCCAGGTTAGAGTAGTTTTTAATGGTTCTTCAAATAATTTTTCTACCTATTTCTTTCTCTCTTCTCCTTATGTACTCTTATAATGCAGTTGTTAGTATACCTGATGTTGTTCTAGAGGTCCCTTAATCTATTTTCATATTCTTTGCTGTTTAATTTGGATGATTTCCACTACCCTGTCTTCCAGATTGCTGATCTCTCTTCTTCTGCATCCTCTAATCTGCTGTTGATTATCTTTAGTGTATTTTTTAGTTCAGTTATTATATTCTTCATCCTTTATTGGTTCTTTTTTTATATTTTCTGTCTCTGTTGAGGTTCTCACTGAATTCATCCATTTTTCTCCCCAAAGTAGAATAACTTTATGACCATTACTTTGAATTCTTTATCAGGTCGATTGTTTATCTCTGTTTCATTTAGTTCTTTTCCTGAGATTTTTTTTCTCGTTCTTTTGTTCATAACATATTCCTCTGTCTTCTCATTTTGTCTGACTCTCTGTTTTTGTGTATTAGGTAAAACAGTTACGTCTCCTTGCATTGAAAGTATGGGCCTTCAGTAGAAGGTGATATGTGGGGCCCAGAAGTACAATCCCCTGGTCACCAAAACCAGGTACTCCAGGGCTGTCCCCTGTGTGTGTCCTCCACTTGTGATTGGGGTACAATTCCTGCTGGTACAGTTGAGAACAGGACTGTGCCCTGGGCCAGCATCTGGCTAATAGTGCCTGGCCATGACTACTGCAGGTGCATTGGTGGTTGGGGCTGGTCAGCATGCTGGCTGAGAGTCCCTCCTATGACTGCTGCCTGTGGGGTGACTTATGACGCTGGCTCCCCCTCCCTGGGACAAAAGTTCCTTTGAACGGTTGCCCATCCTGACTAAGGATGCCCACTAGGTGTGTCAGGGTGGGTGCTGCTGAGATTGCCTGCCAGGTGTAGTGGGTCAGGAGAGTTTCCTGCTTGGTTAGGTGGGAAGGGTGGGGTGGATCTGCAGGGGAATGCCAGAGTGAGGTGAGCAGTGCTAGCAAGGTAGATGGAGAGTGTTAAAACTGGCACCCACTGGCATTGGAACAGCTAGGCTGAAGGAGGGCCCCAAAATGGCATCCCATGGCTTTTTCTCCTAGAGAAATTTCCTGTAGATCCCTGCTTCTCTGGCACACATGCTAAAATTAGTAGATATCCCTTATATATGGTGCAGGCACTTTTCACACTGCTGCCTGTATGGTGGGTCTTGAAGTGAGTAAGATTGTGTACAGACCCTTTCAGTGTGGAGTTTTTGTTTCTTACTAGCTTGCAGCTCTCCAGGAATTAAGTCATTCGGATTTTTCAATGCTCCTGGATTTATGCCCTGCTGATTTTCAAAGCCAGATGTTATGGGGACTTCTCTTCCTAGTGCAGATCCCCAGGGCAAGGGTGGGAGTATGCCTCATATGGGGCTTGAACCCCAACACTCCTTAGGACCTCCATATCTGTGCTATCCCTCCTGCTTGTGGGTTGCTGTGCCAGGGTTTGTTTCCTGACCAGATTGTATTTCTGCCTCTCCCATCCTTCTTGATGTCCCTGTTTCTTTGTATCTTTACCTGTGGAAGAGCTGTTCTGCTAGCCTTCAGGTTATTCTCAGAGGGGGTTTTCTCTATTAGTTGCAGCCTTGGTGTGTTCACAGGAAGAGGTGAGCTCAGGATCTTCCTACTCCATTTTCCCTACTACATCCTAATTAGGTATAGGCCAAAATTCTTTCTCACCTCAGTTCAGTTTTCAGAGCTTTTATGATGTTGCTTCATAGATGTCTTGTGCATATGCCACTTAGGTTAGTCTGATACTCAGGCAGTGTGACATGAATCTTAGTTCAGTTCTCAAGACCTGTATTATGGTGCTCTGTGTCTTTCCCATGCTCACAGAATTTGGGGGTTAGTCTGAGACTTGGGTAGTATTTTTAAACTGAGCTCTGATCTCTCCATGTTTGCTCTGCTGCTTTTGTGGTTAGGTGGCTTAGGGTTTAGCCAGATTTCTACGAGTTTATGTACACCAGAATGAAAACATGTTCTGAGTCTATTCTCTCTTCTCTGAGATACTCCCCACATTCCTTGGCTACAGTGGCCGTTTTCCTGGCTTCCCTGGGTGGAAAGGTTGGAGTTTCTCTCAGAGTTTTAGCAGCCTGTACTTCAGCTGCACTTCAGTAGCCAGAGGCCTGTGTTGGGGCAAGACTACTAGAGAAAAGAAAAAACAAAAACCCTGGAAAGTTCGCCCTCTTGAGGGTTGCTTCTCCACATTTTCACTCTTTTACAACTCCCTGCTTCTGTTTACTTTTTACAGTCCTTAGGGTAGTCACTTTTTGTGTTTTGTCTAAGATTTTTAGTTGTAATCAGTAACAGAACTAGAGTGTAGTGGGCTTATTTTGCCATTCTGGAAATGGAACTCATATCCTATATTTTTAGTATCTTTGGATTTGGAAAAATTTGGAAAAAGAGAATATTAACCTAATGTTTGAAATAACCGTATTTGTGACTATATACTAAGTTATTTAAAGAATCATTTAATGTAATAATAAAATTACATGAAGCTAATGTTTTCACATGATTGGATTTTTAGAAAGGGCAGAAAAAGAAATGCTTGGATTCTCAAGAGGTTTTCCTCCTTGATTTATTCTTGAATTTTTTTCTCTTGAGATTTGTCTGTTATTCTTACTAAGTGTAAAGATAACAGCCTTATTTTAATGGTACCTATATGATTACTTGGAAGAAAGAAATTAATTCAGTTTCTGGTTTTCCTATAGAAACTTGTTTGTTTTAATACATTATAAATTGAGAATAAAATGTGAAATAAACTATAAATCACTTTAAATCAAAATGTGTTATCTCATTTAAATGTAATTAGAGAGTTAAATGATTTGAATTATTTATAAAACTGATTAAGGAGAGTCAAATAGTTTGAGACTCAGTAATTTAATTATGTTTTTAAATTTTTTGAAATGTAAACAATTTTAGCTACTTAATGAGAACAAGAAATTAGTTCTCTCTATGACTGTTTCTTTTCAAGGGTAACTTAAATCTTAAATTTTAATTTAATTTATAAAGCTGTGAATAACTACCTAGTCTCTTGAAGAAGATCAGAAACCCTTCATTGTTTTATCATTCCATGATATGAAAGAAATTATTTCAGTGCATTCAGTGGATCTTTTTGAGCACCTGCAGAAAATAGTTTTTTAATAGGAACTTAACAAATGCTTTTAATGCTTAGTTATTATGTTGGTTGATGATACAGTTTTTATAAACTATTTGCAGTATTAGTCATGTATGCTTAAATGTACTGATTAAAGTCCTGATTCAAGGATGGAATCCTTACCTAATTTTTAGATCAGATTTTTTTTTTCCTTCTAGCAACACGATGCAGAAGTTGAGCATTTAACTGAAGTTCTTAAGGAAAGAAATAAAGAAAGCAAGAGGCTAAGGTCCTCTTTCGATGCATTGAAAGAATTGAATGATAACTTAAAAAAGCAGGTAAGACCTATTTTAATAAATACTAGATTATAAGATTTTTAAAACCTATCATCTTTATTTAACAAATTATATATCAAAGTCTTAGAATATATTCTAGCTAGAGAAAATTTTGATTAACTTTATTTCCTATAATACTTCCAAATATAAATATGGTATTCTTAAGCTTTTGATTTCTCATCATCTGTTTTAGCATCCAGCTGAGAAGATGTTTTTGCAGTTTAGAGTTTTTAAAATATAAGAGCAATTACTAGATTTAAATGAGCAAAAAAAAAAAACAACAACATGATAATGTGGAGATTTTTACACATTGGTTTTAGCTAATACTTCTTTTAACTGCTGTTTTACACCACTGCTTATTTAACATTTGTTTATTTTCTGGACATCTATTATATGCTAGGCACTGTACTAGCATAAATACAGAGGGCTATCATACAGAGGGCTATCATATTGTACAGTGATTACATAAGTGATGTAATCTAGGTTACTGCTTAATAATACTGAAGTTGTAAAGCAAATATTTTGGAGTTGTGTATCTTTTTTTTTTTTTTTTTAACTTTTGCCAGTTTTTGACTGAAAGATGAGAAAGAATAGTTCAAGAAAGACAGGAGAATGATTATGTTTGTATTTGTGGAAGGAGAAGTAGATGAGCAGAAATTGGGGTAAACCCAGTCACTTCAAAAATGAAAGCTTTGGGCTGGAAGACTTCATGGATTCTAAAATGTAACTAAGCTCAGACTCTCAGAGATAATATGCATCCTGGAATTCTTTAGGTAGCTATATGTTTTCAGTTTCTGTTTTTGATGTTCTGTAGTCACTGCTTGTTACAACCTTTCTCATTGGCAGTGACAACTAGCTACAACATTTCTCATTTGATCTAAGTTCTTTGGCTTCCCTGAATTCATTTATGGCCTCCCACAGTAGGAGTATGGATGGCCTTCACTTACTGTTGTCTGGAAGCCTGCTTTATCCCTGGAGAGATTACTTTTTCCCATCACACTCTCAATCTAGTGTGCTCTCGCTCTCTTTTTTTTTTAAGATTTTATTTATTTATTTGAGACAGAGTAAGCAAGAGAGGAGAGAGCACAAGCCAGGAGAGGGACAGAGGGAGAGGGAGGAGCAGACTCCCCACTGAGCAGGGAGCCCGATGTGGAACTTGATCCCAGGACCCTGGGATCATGACCTGAGCTGAAGGCAGCTGCTTAACCAACTGAGCCACCAGACGCCCCCTCTCTCTTTTTAATTGAAGTACAGTTGGTTGACACAAAACATTATATTAGTTTCAGATGTACAATAATGATTTGACAATGTTATATGGTATACTGTGCTCAGCACAAGTGTAGGTACTATCTGTCACCATACAACTCTAGCACTCTTTTTTTTTTTTTTTTTAAAGATTTTACTTGACAGAGAGAGACACAGCGAGAGAAGGAACACAAGCAGGGGGAGTAGGAGAGGGAGAAGCAGGCCTCCTGCCAAGCGGGGAGCCCGATGTGGGGCTCGATCCCAGGAACCCAGGATCACAACCTAAGCCAAAGACAGAGGCTTAATGACTGAGTCACCCAGGCGCCCCATAGCACTCTTTTTTTGAGAAGGGTTTCTTTAACTGCTAGCCAAAGAACATTGTTGCCCGTACCTATCTCTTAAGGTTATATATTTCTTAATAATTTTGTATGTGTTTGTATGGGTGTGTGGTGAGTGGAGTGGATATGTGAATTATTAAGTGATTGATCTATTGATAATTGGATTTTTGATCTAGTGTGACCAAACTGAAAGAGCTTGGGAGAAATCCTTTGGTACCAGCTGGGAGAATGCTTTTTTATGGTTACTCTAAACTTTAGTGTAGATGAGGAGTCAGCAATATTTTTCTTTAAGGATGAAATAGTAAATATTTTGGGCTCTGTGAGCCATGCAGTCTGTCATGACTCAACTCTGACATAATGCAAAAGTAGCTACAGGCAATAAGTAAGTGAATGAGCATGGCTGTATTCTAATAAGATGTTATTTATAACAGTAAACAGTGTTCAGATTTGGTCCATGGGCTATAGTTGGCCAACTTTTGGCATGATGAATGATGTATATATACAGTTGACCCTTAAACACCATGGGTTTGAACTGTGTTACACTTATATGACGATTTTTTTTTTCGATAAATGCGGTACAGTATTATAAATGTATTCTCTCTTCCTTATGATTTTCTTTTTCATGTCAGAGTCTACCATCTTTTATTATTATTTTTTTCTCATTACATTCAGGAAAATTATTCTCCTATAGTAATCCTGGATATGACAAAGATCCAGCTAGGAATTGCATTTTGCCATCGCTTCTCAAGGGTATTTTCTGCTGATCTGGGTCACTTTGTTCCCTTCCTCCTCCCCTCCTCGGAATCCACCCGTCTTCATTTTTTTTCTTTTTTTGATGTTCATTTTTTTTTTCTTTCCTCTCTCTCTTTTTTAAAATTTAAATTCATTTAATTCACATATTATTAGTTTCAGAGGTAGAGTTCAGTGATTCATCAGTCTCATATAATACCCAGTGCTCCTTATATCATGTGCCTTCTTTAATGTCTATCACCCAGTTACCTCATCGCCCCACCCCTCCCCCTCCAGCAGCCCTCAGTTTCCTATGCTTAAGAGTCTCTTATCATTTGTCTCCCTCTCAGATTTCATCTTGTTTTATTTTTCCCTTCTTCTGCTATGATCCTCTGTTTTGTTTCTTAAATTACATATGAGTGAGATCATATGATAATTGTCTTTTTCTGATTAACTTATTCACTCAGCATAATACCCTCCAGTTCCATCCATGTCAATGTAAATGATAAGATTTCATCCTTTCTGATGGCTGAATAATATTCCATTATACCACATCTTCTTTATCCAATCATCTGTCAGTGGACATCTGGGGTATTTCCATAGTTTGCCTATTGTGAACATTGCTGCTATAAACATTGGGGTGCAGGTGCCCCTTCAGATCACTACATTTTGTATCTTTGGGGTAAATACCTGGTGGTGCAATTGCTGGGTGGTAGGGTAGCTCTATTTTTAACTTTTTGAGGAACCTCCATACTGTTTTCCAGAGTGGCTGCACCAGCTTGCATTCCCACCAGCAGTGAAGAGGGTTCCCCTTTCTCTGCATCCTCACCAATATCTGTTGTTTCCTGACTTGTTCATTTTAGCCATTCTGACTGGCATGGGTTGGTATCTCATTGTGATTTTGATTTGTATTTCCCTGATGCCGAGTAATGTTGAGCCATTTTTTCATGTGTCTGATGGCCATTTATATGTCTTCTTTGGAGAAATGTCTGTTCATGTCTTCTGCCCATTTCTTGACTGGATTATTTGTTTTTTGGGTGTTGAGTTTGATAAGTTCTTTCTAGATCTTGGATACTAGCCCTTTATCTGATATGCCATTTGCAAATATCTTCTCCCATTCTGTCAGTTGTCTTTTGGTTTTGTTGACTATTTCCTTTGCTGTGCAAAGGTTTTTTATCTTTATGAAATTCCAGTAGTTCATTTTTCCTTTGTTTCCCTTGCCTTTGGAGATGTGTCTAGCAAGAAGTTGCTGCGGGGGCACCTGGGTGGCTCAGTCGGTTGAGCGGCTGCCTTCGGCTCGGGTCGTGATCCCAGAGTCCTGGGATCGAGCCCCACATCGGGCTCCCTGCTCAGTGGAGAGCCTGCTTCTCCCTCTCCCTCTGCCTACCTCTCTGCCTACTTGTGCTTTCTCTCTCTCTCTGTCAAATAAATAAATA